CCTTGACTATACGCGCAGGAGGTGGGGTTTGCTTTGTATTTTAATAGGCTAGGACTGATGATTGATTATTATATCCTCACCTGCAATGTCATTTTTAAATAGAGGGCAAATGAAACTGGCAAATGAAATGAGGTGCACTTAAGTCACTGGCATTTCACAGAAGCATGGTCAGTTACATGGCCATGAAGTGGTTATATGTATGGTATCTTGAGAGTGTCTGTGTCTAATATTTATACCAGCCTTTCAAAATTCTGCTTGGCCAGGGTCAGTATTTTGTTGATGGACAAATAGAATATTCTGTACCACTGAAATAAACAAATATACCTCATCTATATAAAAAGAAAAGGAGTACTTGTGGCACCTTAGAGACTAACCAGTTTATTTGAGCATGAGCTTTCGTGAGCTACAGCTCACTTCATCGCTTGAAGTGAGCTGTAGCATGCATCCGATGAAGTGAGCTGTAGCTCACGAAAGCTCATGCTCAAATAAATTGGTTAGTCTCTAAGGTGCCACAAGTACTCCTTTTCTTTTTGCGAATACAGACTAACACGGCTGTTACTCTGAAACCTCTCATCTATATAATTATTTATATTATGCTAATCACCAAGGTATCTAGGTGTGGATGCACTGGTAAATTTTCATAACAGTTATGCAGTACTGCTTTGGACAAAAGCACACGCTGGCAGGAATATATTAGCTTGAATATTTTTTGTTGTGGAGATTGTCCCATAATTTTATGGTATTAGGATGGGTTGATCACCGATTGGCAGTATTTTTAAGGGGGTTGTGTATATCAGGATTTTTAGTCAAATTTTCCTGTGAGGTTGTGGAAGGATCAATGAGATTTTATATTCTTTAGCCAACTTTATTGCCTAAAAACGTAGTTTGGGGACATATTACCTGCTGGTGTAAATCAGTGTAACTGAGCTGGCTTCAGTGAAGCTGCACTGATCTACACCATCTAAAGATTTGGCCCTTTAAGTTCATTAGGTAGGTTGTGATCTCACACCTGTACAAATCTAATTTTAGTGAAGTTACTCCAGATTTGCCCAGTGCAATACGATCAGAGTCCTGTCCTATGTCTCTAGAATTCAATTTTTTCTGGCTTGTCCAGAAAATTTAATGTAACGTAAGGGTCAAACTGGCCCTTACTGTGCAAGCATCAATGTCTTGTCCTTCAGTTTACTAACTTTACTGCATACTTGAAGGGTCATATATTAAACTGCACTTGCTCAGCACTGTATTGTACATTCCAATAATTAATGAGAAATGGGTTGAGTTACTGATTGTTTCAGCAGAATTTACTGTGATCATCTGTAACATCATCTATTATTGATGTATTGCAGGAATATAAGCAATACAAGAAGAACTCACATGGATTCCTTAATGAATGTTATAATCGTTGTTTTATCTTAAAAGCTATTTGATATGGAGAAAGTGTGTCCTCCACATTTCTAAAGACGTCAGCATATCTTGTTTGTGCAGCCACATGCTTTACCAGATTTCTCAAAGTGACCCTCTCAACTTGTTCATGCGTAAATTTGACCTGCTGTACCACATCTCTTGAAGGATCCTGATGTGCTTTATGAACGTACAGCCTTGCCTATAGTGTAGCCACTTTTTGAGTGTAAGGTGGCATTTGGGGACAAGTGGCACACAGTGATAGAGAATAGGGAATTTTGGCAGAAAACATCAGGGAAAACCCCCTATGTTAAGTGCCATGGGATTTTTATTGGCAAACAGGACCTAATTGGCAAGGACTCATTCTAAAGAACTATGGGATGGAACTTAATCTATCTGCTGTAATCTAGTAAGGTGTGAACCTGTTGTTCAAGACAGTTTAGGTATTTCAAGCTTGATTCTTATGCCTGGTATACACTAAGAGTTTGTCGGATTTAGCAGCGTTAAATCGCATTAAACCTGCACCCGTCCACACAATGAAGCCATTTTTTTCGACATAAAGGGCTTTTAAAACCGATTTCTGTACTCTTCCGCAACGAGGGGATTAGCGCTGAAATCGACATCGCCATTTTGAATTAGGGTTAGTGTGGATGCAATTCGAAGGTATTGGCCTCCGGGAGCTCGCCCACAGTGCACCATTGTGACCGCTCTGGACAGCGCTCTGAACTCGGATGCACTGGCCAGGTGTACAGGAAAAGCCCCGGGAACTTTTGAATCTCATTTCCTGTTTGGCCAGGCGAGCTCATCAGCACAGGTGACCATGCAGTCCGAGAATCGAAAAAGAGTTCCAGTATGGACTGAACAGGAGGTACTGGATCTGATCACTGTATGGGGAGAGGAATCTGTGCTATCAAGAAGATATGCTATGCCAAAACATTTCAAAAAATCTCTGAGGCCATGAGGGACAGAGGCTACAGCAGGGACGCAACACAGTTCCACGACATGAGCCTGCCCCAGTAACACCATGATCTCCAAATTGCTGGGGACCGCGGTTTTAGAGAAATCTGTGATCATGTCCTATCACCGTGCTTCCGTCGCCTCCTCGCCTGTTTTTTCAGGTGCTGGTTCTGCATAAACTGCATGAAAGTTAACTTTCGTAGTGTAGACATGGCCTTAGAGCACTAAGTTAACTGCTGCGGTGAGCTGAACGGGCTCCATGCTTGCTGTGCTATGGTGTCTGCTTGGGCAATCCAGGGAAAAGGCGTGAATTGATTGTCTGCTGTTGCTTTCACGGAGGGAGGGTTGACTGACGACATTTACCTATAACCACTTGCGACAAATTTTTGGCCCCATCAGGCATTGGGAGCTCAGCCCAGAATTCCAATGGGCAGCGGGGACTGCGGGAACTGTGGGATAACTACCCACAGTGCACCGATCGGAATGTCGATGCTTGCCATGGTACTGTGGATACACACCGCCGAATTAATGTGCTTAGTGTGGATGCATGCACTCGACTTTATAGGTTTCAGAGTAACAGCCGTGTTAGTCTGTATTCGCAAAAAGAAAAGGAGTACTTGTGGCACCTTAGAGACTAACCAATTTATTTGAGCATAAGCTTTTGTGAGCTACAGCTCACTTCATCTGAGTGAATTCATACCCCCAACATTTTTTCCATTCCTCCTCACAAAATTTGACTTGCTCATGCTGAATAACTATTTTTTATTTCAATTTTTTTTCTTATGCACACCATCATGGTCTAATTGGGCAAGTAGATTTTTGTGCGTGGGCTGGTAAATTTTCGGGATGGTTTTGCAAGGCTGCCCTACCTGCAAAGTAGTCCAAAAGAGTTACAGATAAATGTTAATTGTAACGAATCGTAACTTTTTGTGAAGTGATTTTTTGAACATCTGAATTGGAATGCCCTGAAAAGCACATTTTTGAATGAGTATACAAAACCGTTTACTGTGGCGATACTTGAGCCTGTATATAATAATGATCTCTTAGCAATATTGTTACTCTCAAGTTTGCATCCTTATTTTTCTCAGTCGTAAAATATAAAGGTGTTTTCATACTACAGAGCCATCAGAACCAAATTATCAAAGCTATAATATCATCATAGACAATAAAGTACTTTAAAAAATCCTTTTAAACCTCAAACATGACATGCATATCTCTTCCTCTGATCTGTTGCTTTAATTACCCTTATTTCACAAATGCAGTAGAAATATTTTTTTCTAGCATTCCCAAGGCACATTTATTTTATTTTTTTACTAATGGGATTTCAGGCTCCGAGACCTTGTGATGCTTTGAGGCACACACATCTCCTATATATGATACCTGGGCAGTAAGCAGCTGAATGGGCTTATGCTCTGCTGTCTTGCAGTTTTTAAGCAATGTAGCAGCAAATAACTTTAAGCATATCAAGATGGTTTTGAAGCCCAGCAGTTATTTGGAAAAAGAACTACATGGGAATGTAACCTTATCTTAAATGATTGCCATTTTTGTCATGCAGCAGAGCAGAATTGAATCTGGTTTGCTGTGCAGTAATTGCACAATCATAAAATGCTACCATGCAACTTAATATTTCTGTTTCTTGCTGAATAAAATGGTCTGGCTAGCTGATCTGCAAATGCCAGGCTTTGTTGTTTGCGTTGCCTCTCACCTTTTAGCACCAACGGTTTAAAAGAAAAGTTTTTCCAGTGACAAGCCATAATTTAAAAAACGATGGATGCATAATAGAGTATAACAGCTAGAGATTTTTTTAGGACACATTTGAATAGTTCTGTTTCCCAAATTTACTGTAGAAAAATAGTAGAGTGGATCGACACTATATATTGCAATTCTGTAGTCATACCACCCTGTGCTCTGGTCCTATATGTTTTAACCAACTAATCAGGGCCATGCCGGGGTGCGTATTTGGATGGGAAACATGGCCACACTTGTGAGTTAGAGTGCATTGAAGCAGCCCTGGGCACCCTAACTCACGACACGTCCACGCTGGCAAGGCACCTAGAGCGCCCGGTCTCCACGGCTGGAGCGCTCCTGGTAATCCACCTCGATGAGAAGCATAATGCTTGCTGCACCCCGGCTGGAGAGCCACAGCACTGGTGTGGACGCCCTGCTCTGTTAATGCACTCTGATCAACGTCCAGAAGTGTCCCACAATGCCTCTTCTAGCCACTCTGGTTATCACTTTGAACTCTTTTGCCCTGCCGTCAGGTGACCAACCGTCAGACCTGCCCTTTAAATTCTCTGGGAATTTTGAAAATCCCCTTCCTGTTTGCTGAGCAAGATTCTCAGCAAATATTTCCAGGTGACCATGCCTCCACGCGCCAGGTAATCCCAGTATGGAGCAATAGCAAGGTGCTGGACCTCATCAGTGTTTGGTGGGGAGGAAGCTGTCCAGTCCCAGCTGTGCTTCAGCCGTAGGAATTATGATACCTTCGGGCAGATATCAAGGGCCAAGATGGAAAGGGGCCATGACCGGGATGCACAACAGTGCAGGGTTAAAGTGAAGGAGCTGCGGAATGTCTACCTCAAAGCCCGCAAGGCAAACCGCAGCTCCCGTGCTGCCCCTGTGACCTGCTCTTTCTTCTGCAGAGAGCTGGAGGCAATACTTGGGGGCAACCCCACCTCCACCATGGACACTTCAGAGCCCAGTTCAACAAGGCAGGAGGAGGAGGAGGAAAGTGGGAGTGAGGGTGCTGAGGAGGAGGGAGACACCCCGGCATCCCTAGATGCATGCAGCCAGGAGCTGTTCTCAAGCCAGAAGGAAGGTAGGCAGTCGCAGCAGCTGGTGCCTGGGGAAGGATAAACACCAGAGGAGGTGCCTGCAAGTGGCTTTTATTTTGGGAAGGAAGTTGTTCGGTGCAGGCTCTTGGGGCGAGGAGGGTTAGGGCTGGATGTGGAATAGAGTGTTGATGTGCTCTCTCACATTGTGGTAATCTGTCTCAGTGATCTCTTCAAAGGTCTCATACAGAAGCTGGGCAACGTACTTGTGCAGGTTCCTTGGGAGAGCTACTGTGCTCCTTGTCCCAGTCAAGCTTAACAGTCCACGCCACTGTGCCGTGTGGGGCGGGGGGACCATTGCTGCACGCAGGCAAGCTGCAGGGCCAGGGCTGAAGCCGCATTGTAGTAGAAGACCCTCCCTTGCTTCCCAGGTCACCCTCAGCAGCGTGATATTTTCCAGGACGAACTCCTGTGGAAAATGTGGGTACAGTGTTCAGTTCAGCAGACCCCTGCAGCTGTTAGCTCTCCCCAAGGCACAGAGCCCCAGAGGACAGTATGGCAGTGAAACAGTCTGTCCCCCTTGACCCTGTGTTCTTACTCACCATTTGGGGCTCCTGTGGGTTATGTGGGCTTGCTTTGGGACAGACAAATTCTGCTTTTGGGTAGACTGTGCTTGTCTTTGGGTATGGGCGAATCATTGCTCTGTCTGGTGTGAACAATGCTGCGTCTGTTAAGTGTTGCATTTTGGGTTTACAGATGCAACCTTTAGATCTCGGCCATCCTTGTTCTTCCCGGCTGAAAGACTCCAAAGAATTAGGAAGAGGCCACGTAGAAGCAAAGAGGGCATGCTGCATGAAGTAATGCAGTAGTCTCTTAATGAAAATCAAAAAGTGCAGGAGTGGCAGGAGAGTGAAAGGAGGGTCCGCCAGCAGAATGCGGATTGCCGGCACCAAAGCATGGAGCAGCTGCTAAGCATTATGAAGTGCCAAGCGGACTCGATACAGGCACTCGTAGCAATGCAGGCAGAGCACTACCGCGTCCTCTTCCCCCCCCCCCCCCATGCAGCCCCCTCTGGAACCACCTCTCAGGTAGTTGAAAGCAGCTATCAAATCCCCTCTCATTCTTCTCTTTTGCAGACTAAACAATCCCAGTTCCCTCAGCCTCTCCTCATAAGTCATGTGTTCCAGACCCCTAATCATTTGTTGCCCTTCGCTGGACTCTCTCCAATTTATCCACATCCTTCTTGTACTGCGGGGCCCAAAACTGGACACAGTACTCCAAATGAGGCCTCACCAATGTCGAATAGAGGGGAACGATCACGTCCCTTGATCTGCTCGCTATGCCCCTACTTATACATCCCAAAATGCCATTGGCCTTCTTGGCAACAAGGGCACACTGCTGACTCATATCCAGCTTCTCGTCCACTGTCACCCCTAGGTCCTTTTCCGCAGAACTGCTGCCTAGCCATTCGGTCCCTAGTCTGTAGCTGTGCATTAGGTTCTTCCGTCCTAAGTGCAGGACCCTGCACTTATCCTTACTGAACCTCATCAGATTTCTTTTGGCCCAATCCTCCAATTTGTCTAGGTCCCTCTGTATCCTATCCCTGCCCTCCAGCGTATCTACCACTCCTCCCAGTTTAGTATCATCCGCAAATTTGCTGAGAGTGCAATCCACACCATCCTCCAGATCATTTATGAAGATATTGAACAAAACCGGCCCCAGGACCGACCCCTGGGGCACTCCACTTGACACCGGCTGCCAACTAGACATGGAGCCATTGATCACTACCTGTTGAGCCCGACAATCTAGCCAACTTTCTACCCACCTTATAGTGCATTCATCCAGCCCATACTTCTTTAACTTGCTGACAAGAATACTGTGGGAGACAGTGTCAAAAGCTTTGCTAAAGTCAAGAAACAATACATCCACTGCTTTCCCTTCATCCACAGAACCAGTAATATCATCATAGAAGGTGATTAGATTAGTCACCTTCCCTTGGTGAATCCATGCTGACTGTTCCTGATCACTTTCCTCTCATGTAAGTGCTTCAGGATTGATTCCTTGAGGACCTGCTCCATGATTTTTCCGGGGACTGAGGTGAGGCTGACTGGCCTGTAGTTCCCAGGATCCTCCTTCTTCCCTTTTTTAAAGATTGGCACTACATTAGCCTTTTTCCAGTCATCTGGGACTTCCCCCGTTCGCCACGAGTTTTCAAAGATAATGGCCAATGGCTCTGCAATCACAGCCGCCAATTCCTTTAGCACTCTCGGATGCAACTCGTCCGGCCCCATGGATTTGTGCACGTCCAGCTTTTCTAAATAGTCCCTAACAACCTCTTTCTCCACAGCGGGCTGGCCATCTACTCCCCATGTTGTGATGCTCAGCGCAGCAGTCTGGGAGCTGTCCTTGTTAGTGAAGACAGAGGCAAAAAAAGCAGAGAGCACATTAGCTTTTTCCACATCCTCTGTCACTAGGTTGCCTCCCTCATTCAGTAAGGGGCCCACACTTTCCTTGGCTTTCTTCTTGTTGCCAACATACCTGAAGAAACCCTTCTTGTTACTCTTGACATCTCTTGCTAGCTGCAGCTCCAGGTGCGATTTGGCCCTCCTGATTTCATTCCTACATGCCCAAGCAATATTTTTATACTCTTCCCTGGTCATATGTCCAACCTTCCACTTCTTGTGAGCTTCTTTTTTATGTTTAAGATCCGCTAGGATTTCACCGTTAAGCCAAGCTGGTCGCCTGCCATATTTACTATTCTTTCGACTCATCGGGATGGTTTGTCCCTGTAACCTCAACAGGGATTCCTTGAAATACAGCCAACTCTCCTGGACTCCTTTCCCCTTCATGTTAGTCCCCCAAGGGATCCTACCCATCCGTTCCCTGAGGGAGTCGAAGTCTGCTTTCCTGAAGTCCAGGGTCCGTATCCTGCTGCTTACCTTTCTTCCCTGTGTCAGGATCCTGAACTCAACCAACTCATGGTCACTGCCTCCCAGATTCCCGTCCACTTTTGCTTCCCCCACTAATTCTTCCCGGTTTGTGAGCAGCAGGTCAAGAAAAGCTCCCCCCCTAGTTGGCTCCTCTAGCACTTGCACCAGGAAATTGTCCCCTATGCTTTCCAAAAACTTCCTGGATTGTCTATGCACCGCTGTGTTGCTCTCCCAGCAGATATCAGGAAGATTAAAGTCACCCATGAGAACCAGGGCGTGCGATCTAGTGGCTTCTGCGAGTTGCCGGAAGAAAGCCTCGTCCACCTCATCCCCCTGGTCCGGTGGTCTATAGCAGACTCCCACCACTACATCACTCTTGTTGCTCACACTTCTAAACTTAATCCAGAGACACTCAGGTTTTTCTGCAGTTTCGTACCGGAGCTCTGAGCAGTCATACTGCTCCCTTACATACAGTGCTACTCCCCCACCTTTTCTGCCCTGCCTGTCCTTCCTGAACAGTTTATAACCATCCATGACAGTACTCCAGTCATGTGAGTTATCCCACCAAGTCTCTGTTATTCCAATCATGTCATAATTCCTTGACATCACCAGGACCTCCAGTTCTCCCTGCTTGTTTCCAAGGCTTTGTGCATTCGTATATAAGCACTTGAGATAACCTGCTGATCGCCCCTCATTCTCAGTATGAGGCAGGAGCCCTCCCCTCCCAGACGTTCCTGCCTGAACTTATGATCCATTTCCATTCAGGCCTAGAACCTTCTCAGTAGTTTCTAAAACAAGCACATTTGTTTTTCAGTTCTTTAGCTCCATCAGTACAGCTGACATACTCCCCGTTGGGGAAAAGGTAAATTGCCCAATCTTGCCTCGAATCTGGGAGATCAAATCCTTCCTTTTTATAATAGTAGTTAAAGTTAACATTTCCCTTGCATTTGATTCTCTCAGGAGCTTAGATGAAAAGGCAGTTAACACTCTTCATCCTGTTCCCTTTGCTATAACTCTGCTTGATTTTAAGCCTTTAGTTAATTAATGTCATACAGAAAGTTGTGCAAATGTGTGCTTTGTCTACACCTGAGAATAACCTCATCCAGCAGTCAGTGTAGCTATACAGGGGGTCCCTGGTATACATCTCTCACTTATCCGTTGTTTCTGATATCCATCGCTCATCAATAGGGGAACATGTTCCGATTTATGTTGGTCCTGATTTGCATATCTGTCGTTTGCACAGATCGGGACTGATATAACTTAGAACATGTTCCCCTCTTGTATAGTATAGTACTGTACTTGCGTCCACCGGCCACGGTCAAGGCTTATTACCTACGGAGAACGTTCTCCATGCTAATTAAGGAGACAGCCGGTGAAGGAAAGCCCAGTGTAAAGGAGTTTTGGAAGTCCTACAACATCTTGAATGTCGTGGAAAACGTTGCCGCGTCAATAGAAGAGGTCACTTCACAATGTATATATGGCATTTGGCGCTGTGCATGGCCAGATGCTGTCCACAGCTTTGTGGGATTTGATGTCATTCCTGCTCTCGAGCAAGAAATTGTCAAGTTGGCGAAGAATGTCGGCTTCGAGAAGGTGGAGGAGGAGGGTGTACAGGAATTGTTGTAGTCTCATGCTGAGCAAATGAGGAACTGATTGAGCTGGACCAATAATGGATATCCGAAAAAAGCAAGAATGATGATGACGTAGGGCAGGAAGCCAGGAGTCTGACAACAAAGAAATTCTCCCGTTTCTTTGGATTGCTGGATGAGATGATGGAAATCATATAGAGCAGTGATCCTTTTCGTGAACGGTCTGCCAAAGTCTGAAGGGCTCTCAATAATGCAGTGGCTTGCTACAGGGAGATCTATCGTTCAGAGATTCATGCAGGAGAGCAAATGTCAATAAAATCCTTTTTTAAGACTTCTGCAACCAAAAGCCAGCCACGGAAAAGCCAGCCCAAGAAAACCTAGCTATCCTACCTAAGTTTAGTGTAATTGACGCTGTTTTATACTGTATTACTGTATTGTATTTACTATATTAAAATGTTCTGTGTGTTTGAACGGCATTAGTAGGGTTCTACATTATTTTCTTCAATGTTTTATGTGTAAAATGTGTAC